TCAAAATATATTGTATTCTGCAGAAGAAAGAAATCATGCAGGTTTGGAACGACATGAGGGTGTGTAAATGACAACAACGTTTTTCTTTTTTGGATAAACTATCCCTTTGTTTTCAGAGAATATATCTCAATGTTGAGGTGAGGTTTATGCTTAAAACAAGAAAAAAAAACTTACCATTACAATATAAAAATGAAAATTAACTTAAATATAAAATTAAAGACATTATTATTATCTTGCATAATTTTGATTCTAAAATGTAAACAATTCTAAGGATGTTTAGATAATTCTCCTAGAAAACAAGACAAAATTTCTTTAAGAAAATGATTTGGTAAAAGTTTGAGGTAAAATAAGGATAAAGATTGAGGGAAGGAAAATGAAATCATTGACATTCAGCTCACATTTTCCCTCCTCCCTGCCTTTCTCGGCATCTCTCTCCTTCTCTCTCTCCCTGCCATCACTCTTACTCTCTTTCCCACCCACTATCTCTTTTTCTCCTCTCCTCTCAATACAGGTCTCCTCCTCTTTCGTCTCATATCAACTTTTCCCCAGACTCCACTGCACAGCAAGCAAACTGAGCCTTATTCAGTTCAGGTTTTCTCTGAACGCTGTACAGCTCAAGTGAGATTTGAGCTCTGATCTTTTACTCTTTCCAGAAACTATTGTAAATTTCTACTGCAGGAAACCAATCAACTAGAGAAATACTCCCACCTCTCTGTGAAAACCATACCTTCTCTAGCTTTTTACGGTAAAAATCTTCAGTTCTTCTCCTGTCTTCCAAAATAAAGTTAGTCAGTTTAGTCTTAACTGTGTCACATTTTCACATTTCTAGATTTCCATTTATGCATTTGACAGAATCATTTATCCAAAGCAGCTTTTACATTGAAGTTACATATTTTGCCTGTGCATTCCCTAGAAATCAAACCCATTACTTGTGCCATGTATTGCCGGTACAGGATACCGCAGGAGAAATAATAATACAACATTAGTCCAAACATTTACTCAGGCAGGTATTACAGACACTAAACACAACCAGCACTTTCAGCTGTGAAGTCACAATGGTGCCCTAAAGCTGTAACCATGGAAACCATTCTTTGTCGGTTTGCTGGAACAATATGGCAAAGAATGGGCTACAGGAGGCATCAGCAATGGTTACCATGGCAATAACCATATAAATCAATGTTGATCATTATAAGTCCTGCTTTTGTGTCTACAGCATAGGCCAACGGTTAGAGGCAGAAAAAAGAAACATAACATCCATCTGAACAACCTCACTGTGGATTTCAATAAACCACATACAAAATATAGTTGTGCTAATTTGGATATGTGACATCAAATAACTCTCAGAGAAAAGCAGAAGGCACTAGAGCGGTCCAGGTAGGGGAGCCGTGCCCAATCATGGGCTCAATTCTTGATTGGACATGCATGGGTAGATCCAGAGCCATGCCCCTGCACTCCAGCAGACTGTTCCAGTGTTATTAAATGATCTGTCAGCCAGAGACGGTCTGTCTGAGGAATTCAGAGAGACCTGGCTGTTATTAAGGCTCTCATTAAAACAACACAACTCAATCCTAGAGAATTAGTTAATTACAGACCGATGTCAAATCTCCCTTTTCTGTCAAAGATACTAGAAAAGGCAGTATCATCACAACTATGTTCCTTCCTAGAGAAAAATGGTATCTGTGAGGATTTCCAGTCAGGTTTTAGACTGCACCATAGTACTGAGACTGCTTTCATCAGAGTTACAAATGACCTGCTCTTATCATCTGTTCGTGGTTGTATCTCTCTATTAGTGCTACTGTATCTTAGTGCTGCATTTGACAGTTTCGACCATAACATTCTTTTGAATAGACTAGAAAATTATGTTGGCATTAGTGGAATTGCATCAGCATGGTTCAAATCGTACTTATCTGATGGTCATCAATTCATAGCAGTGTATGAAGAGGTATCATATCGATCACAAGTGCAGTATGGAGTACCACAAGGCTCAGTACTAGGGCCGTTGCTTTTCACGCTTTACATGCTACACATGGGAGATATCATCAGGAAGCATGGTGTTAGCTTTCACTGTTATGCTGATGATACTCAGCATTCTATTTCTTCGCGGCCTGACAAAACACCAATTCGCAAAACTAACGGAATGCATAGTTGATATAAAAATCTAGATGACTAGTAATTTCCACGTTTCTAGCATTTGTAAAAACATTTTTCCATCTTAAAAATATATCTAAATTACGACCTATGGTTTCAATGTCAAATGCAGAAACGTTAATGCGTTCATGTGTTCATGACCTCAAGGTTAGATTATTGTAATGCTTTATTGGGTGGTTGTTCTGTGCACTTAATAAACAAACTCCAGCTGGTTCAAAATGCAGCAGCTAGAGTTCTTACTAGAACCAGAAAGTATGACCATATTAGCCCGGTTCTGTCAACACTGCACTGGCTCCTTATTAAACATCGTTTACATTTTAAAATCTTGCTAAATACTTATAAAGCCCTAAATGGTTATCGCAGTACTTCATGTCCGCTGCGATCTCAAAACTCTGGCCATTTGATAATACCTAGAATATCAAAATTAACTCCAATGGCAGATATTTTTCCTATTTAACACCCAAACTCTGGAACAATCTACCTAGCATTGTTCGGGAGGCAGACACACTCTGTAATTTTAAATCTAGATTAAAGACCCATCTCTTTAACCTGGCATACACATAACACAATACAGTGTTACTGGAGAACTGGCCCTCTGACTGAGACTGGTTTCTCCCAAGACTTTTTTTCCTCCATTTCTGTCACCGATGGAATTTTGGTTCCCTGCCACTGTCGCCTTTGACTTGCTTAGTTGGGGACACTTCATTTTTGGCAATATTGTCGACTTGATTGCACAGACACTATTTGAAGAGAACTGAACTGAGATGGATGATGACATCACTAAATCAACAATGAACTGACTTTAACTGTTTAGTCCTCCTGCATTATCGACACACTACCTGTTTAACACTGTAAAGCTGCTTTGACACAATCTATATTGTATAAAGCACTATATAAATAAAGATGACTTGACTTGACTTGACCTGAGACAGTAACCCTGGCCGTGATTAAGGGTACAAAAGGATGCAAACTGTAAGAATTGTGCAATTTCAGGGACAAGATGGGCAATTGTGCCAATAATACCAAAAGCACATCAAAAGGAAATTTAAAAAAATCATGGTAAACTCTCAAACATATTGACTTACAGGAATAGTTCGCCCAAAAATGAAAATTTGCTGAAAATCTTCCAAGATGTAGATGAGCATGCTTCTTCATTAGAACAGATTTGGAGAAATTTAGCATTACATCCCTTGCATACCAGTGGGTCCTCTAAAGTGAATGGGTGCCGTCAGAATGAGAGTCCAAACAGCTGATAAAAAAATCATAATAATTCACAAGTAATCCACATGACTCCAGTCCATCAGTTAACATCTTGTGAAATGAAAAACTGTATGTTTGTAATAAATTAATCATTAAGATGCTTTTAACTTCACACCGATGGATCCATTGGTGACCAAGTGATGTAAGGCTAAATTTCTCAAACTCAGTTCCAATTAAAAAAAGCTCATCTACATCTCAGATGGCCTGATGCTGAGTACATTTTGAGCAAATTTTCATTTTGGACTAACTATTCTTTTAATGGTTCCCAAATTCATCTTTAAAAGTGTTCTGGATCCCAGTGCTTGAAGTGGAAAAAAAGAAGTGCCGGTAATCATTCATACGCTTGCATTCATTCACGTGATTTGTCGAGATGAGAGGTGACACTTCCTGGGTAGTGTGACTTATATAGTGTAATTTCTAATCACCCAGACACTGACGCTTTGAAGTGTCAACATGTCAGAAGTGCTGGTGCGCTAAAGACTAAAATATAGTTTATGTAAATATAGTATAATGTTCATCTCTGTCCATGGTGCTGAATCAATCCTAGTGGCTGGCTTTTGGTTCTGAGCACTTTTTCCCTTTCTGTAGAGGCAAATATTAGCACAAAGTCTGTTACATCTGTAAAGGCCTGTTCACACCAAGGATGATAACAATAAAGATATAGTTCTAAAAATCGTTCTATATTATATTATATATTAAAGAATAGCAGAGTCCACACCACAACATAACGATAAAAGCACAGAGAAACGATATCGTTGGAATCACTCAAGAACGTTTTTTTCCCAGCTGATGAACGATAAAAACACTGATAGGCTACCCAATCAGAATCAATCAATGAGCTCGAGAATTGCAACCTGTTTTTCCATGTCAAATGTATTCATTTTGTTATAAAGGTGGTAATTTTGTCTGTAATATAAAGTGCTCATATAAAATATGTTCTGTGTGTAGGCTACTGACACAATAATTGTACGTGTAAATTAGCATAGTAATTGCAAACAGTTTCTATAGTCAGTTTTTAACAGGCTGTCACACAGAATACATTCCGTCACATAATCGTTGTCTCTGTGTGTGTTATTATCTCTCGTATGGTCTAACGTTAACAGACCAATCAGAAAAGCTTTCCTTTCGCCTTTACACAACCCCATTCCCGTGATTAGGTGTAATGTGGGTGGGGGCACCACCGGCATTCACCGGCCGCGGCTCTTCGGGAAACCTGAACTTCTGAATTAGCTCCGTAACTGAGCGATTAAGTGCCGCATCGCGTTCGTTTGTAAATATTTTGTGTGGAGCTGCCTAGCGCAGCAAACGAATGCCTTAGCTCGGAAAGGAAATGCACACAAGTGGCCGAGCTGGAGATGCGCGGAGCCCGCACGCATTCTGCACCGCGGGTCGGTGGTGGAGATTCGTGCTTTCAGACTGGTAACAGCGGATTGCGGTCGTGCTGGGCGCGGTACGGGATTAATATGGATCAATGACACGCACCTCATAGATAATGGAATATACAAAACTGTATTTGCGCATTTGAAACTGTTTGTAAGTAGCCTACATGACCAGTTCACTGTTAAAAATACACCGATATGTACTGGATTCATCCTCTCTAAGACGCTGTGGAGGTATTCAAAGAGAAAAGTGATTCGTTTCTATTACGAGAAATGAGCATATCATTCCTTCCACTCGGATCAACGACGCATTTATGGAAATTGGGTCTCTCAGATGGCATGAAACTGCAAAGACGTGACTGGTAATAATTCAGAACCCCTTTCCCTGTCGGAAAAAAACAAACAAACCTTAAAACAGCCACTTTTCAGCTCGTCGTGCTGGTTTAGGGTTTTTCTTTCTACGAATAGCCTATAACCTGTTACTCCCTTGAAAAGTGACCACTATTGCCCAGGGTGCGAATTATGGGGTGGGGAGGAGGGGGGTTGGATGTTGACCCCAAAATTAAGACTTGAACCCCTAAGGAATTCAAAACAAATGATTTGAGTGTTCTTAAAAGTATGTATTTATACATAGGCTAAGTGTATATTTCAAACGACGTTTTAGGTAAAGTTAGGTAAAATTGCGCTAAAATAAACGCTCGTAAATAGGAATCGAGTTATTCTGAGAAGATAACCATAGCAACATTACGTTACTCGACCGCTTTCTCTATTCGATGTAGGATTGTACATCAATAAATCATAATAGTCTAATAATTCATTATTCTAATATAGTTCATTATAGATTTGCATATCACAAACCCGAATGTCTTCGAGGTATTTGAAGGTTAGATAACTAGCGACGCCAAAGACTGGGTTGCGCGAAACGAACCTCAACCGACTGCGCCCCAAAATAACTGACAGAATACTGAAAGAAAAGTCGACCCCTTTGAAAGTCTCGCTCACTGATATCGCCACATGCAAAAACACCGCAGCGTTTCGAATGCATTTTCATTCCGACTTATCTTTTTCTTAAAAGTAAATGCAGTACTAACAAAATGTCTCTGACCCAGAAGGACCTGATGAGATTCAACGCAACGCTTCATCATTTCAGTGATCCAGCTGCGTGGGTTGAACACTGATGCTCCGGATCTCTGATGCTGATGCTGGTTCATCGCCCTTGCGCTGTTGCTGCATTCTAGGATGTTGCGACAAGTGTTGCACGAAGGGCTCAGGACGTCATTCCACAAACTGGGCCACTTTGTCGCCAATCACCCGGTGTTTTTCGCCTCCGCGCCCGTGCTGATCTCCATCCTGCTGGGCGCGAGCTTCAGCAGATACCGCATAGAGGAAAACGTGGAGTACCTGTTAGCCCCCAAACACAGCCTGGCGAAGATCGAGGGGAACTTGGTGGATAGTTTGTTCCCCGTGAACCGATCCAAACACACCCTCTACTCAGACTTGCAAACACCCGGGAGATATGGCCGGGTCATCGTGACTTCGCGCAGGGGGAGCGTGTTGGACCCTCACCACGTCAACTCAGTCCTAAAGGTGAGTAACATTTCACTGGAGTAACTGTTTTTGTCTAACAGTTTAAACTGTTACAATAGTATTGTCAGGGCTCCATGAATCAATATTTTTTGTTAATTTAGCTACTTTTTGAGAGATCCAACTTTCCTTGAAGCTTATTAGTCTTCCTTTTATAGAGGTAAAAAAGTGAAAAGGAAATCACAGTTCAAGAAATCAGGGATAATTTGAAAAATATACGTCTTAATTGGCTTCACAACTTTGTCCTGCTTTTTTCAGCACTTTTCAGATTATATTTGCATAAAAACAAACATTTTTGTGATTACGTAATAATCTTTTTCGTTCTTCTTTTCATATTTTATCTGTTATGAGTTCAACAAAGTCACAGGTTCTGGTAAGTAGGGTTTTTATTTATTTATTTACAGATTTATGCAATCCTTACATTCCCAACAATGATATGTTTAACTCATTACACAAAGTGGGGGATTTTTAGATAATTTCCTTTGTTTTAAGAAGCTCATATTAGTAGCTAGGAATAGTGCATTTACAAAAAAGAAATACAAAAAAAAACAAAAACAAAAAAATCAATACATTTACATATGTGATATTAAAAATAAGTTTGGTTATTTTTGTCAACACTGTCAGCTGTCAGGCATAAACACTAAGATTTTCTTTCTATGATTTCACTTGGATGTGATCATCATTTTGAAACATTCTTGAATTCATTTAAATAAATGTTAGATTAATAAATATTTATGTAATAGATGTTAAATATTAAATATTGCATCTATAGTCCCACGGTAAGTGGGAAAATGGAAGATAATTCTGTGATTAATATTTATTTATTTATTCATTTATTTATTCCCAGTACTCAGGAATCACTGGGATAATAACTGACAAAATGTCTGTCCTTTAAAATTGAACAAATCTGTAATTTTAACTCCACTGTGGAATACAGGAGCTATGGTATTAACTGGATTTTAAGGAAAGTTCTCTTCCCACAGCTCTCCCTGGATCATATATTTTTTTAATATTAGAAATATTTCATGCAATGTGCCGGTCAGAGTGTTAGCTTGTGGCCTACTTTATCTTCCTGTAACACAGCATCCCAATCCAGCTCCAAAATTCATTCCCCCAGACACCACCAACATGAAATATGATGCTGGCAACTTCTGCTTATACTGTACTCGCAAAAAATTTTTAATTTCAGGCAAAAACCAAATAAGCACTTCACCTCTTTTTGTGGAATGTAGATGAAATTATGGCATTACATTTCAGATTGACATTTTGCTAGCAAAAACACTTTATTATTAAATGCAAAGTAATAATAATAATAATAATACGTTTTATTTATATAGCGCCTTTCCAGAGCTCAAGGACACTTTACAATAAACATCAAAAATGTGAGGATAACATCAAACAAACAATCAAACAATAATACAGAAAGTAAAGAGAACATCAGAGAGAAATATATGGATAAGACAACATAAAACAGAATAAACAGAAGTCAACTTAAGAAAGGTAACATTGTGAAAACAAATGAGTTTTGAGGTGAAAGAAAGCTGATTTAGTGAGACTGAAATGAAAGAGAGGAGTCAAACATAACACCGAGATTTCTGACGATACTATATGGAGCAATTAGAGTGACAGTGATATTGCAAGTAAAGTCAGCGTACTCACGTCATGTGCATTTAGACTAATCCTTTCTAACTGGAAACATTCGTTTCAATTTTCTTGAGATAACTGAACTAAGCCCGAGCTGTAAGCAGCAACCACGTCTTAAGAACTTTTTTAATATTCACAATGCATTGTATATTCCAGAAATAGAACCTTCTTCATATTCTCTCTGCACCATAACACAACAGGTCTCGGTATAACCTTGTTCACTGTATCAGAGGCCACCATTGGGCAAGAGGTTTGCTCTCCTATGCTGAGCCATGATTTGAAAGAGTCGAATGCAGTGTGACAACTGTGTATGCCAAGATCTGATCTGATCCGATTCTGAAAGAAGGCAAAATTATGGTTCAAAGAATTTGAGGTGATTATATTCTGTGTAGTATATATAGTTTTTTCTTTGCCCATTGTTTCCTACAAATGAAGAGCAGACAGCCCATTTGGAGCGTCCGTCTAGGTCAGAGACTGTGGGCATGCAGATGTCATGCTTTAGTCTCCAACTGAGGGTTAATAATCAAGCTTGAGCAATTAGAGGCCTGATTGGTGTGTGTCTGACATTTCTTTGCTTCTCGAGGAGGCCAGAGGAGCATTGGAGGAGGCAGCCTCCCCCGGTGATCTGAGTCTGACACGTCTAATCAGTCTGACATTAACAACGCAGAGAGTCTGACCTCAGAGGACAATCAATCCTCCTCTCGCATTGATTGCCTTGGAAGAAAGTCTAAAAGTTTTTCTTTGATGTTGCATTTGTGTTTTTAAACAGGAAGTAAAACTGTTGGCACACTCTTCCTGCAGGGACATGCTTTTTTGTTGCCTGGCAACAAGATACTTGCAGCTGAATGCGTTGAAATATTGACAATCACATACTTAAAGTTTACTCTTGTGTATTAAACGTTTTCATTTTAATTTATTCCTAATGTTGCAAGAACATAATACACTACCATTCAAAAGTTTGAGGTCAGTGTTTCGCCAGTTCTTCTTTTCTTTTTTTTTAAAGAAATTAATACTTTTTTATTCAACAAGGATGCATTAAATTAATCAAAAGAAACAGCAAAGATGTTACAAAATGTTTTATTTCAAATAAATGCTGTTCTTTTGAACATTCTATTCATCAAAGATTCCTGAAAAAAAAGTTTCACAGTTTCCACAAAAATAATAAGTAGCACAACTGTTTTCAACATTTATAAAAATAATGTTTCTTGAGCACAAAATCAGCATATTAGAGAGATTATTTGACATTGAAGACTGGAGTAATGGCTGCTGAAAATTCAGCTTTGCCATAAAAGGAATAACAATTAAAAGATAAAAAAATAAAAACAAACAAAAAATGTAATATTTTGCAGTATTACTGTTCTTGCTGTATTTTTGATCATACTTTGAATGGTAGTGTATATCTTTTCATTGACTAATTCAAATTTTGTTTATCTGTATTTACCTGTACTTATTAGTAAAATCTATATTTTTTATCCCTCTCTTTTCCACATCAAGCTACACAACACAATCACTCAGATCCAAGTTCCTATGCTGGGATTCAACTACACCTTTGCCCACCTCTGCCTGTTGGATGACAGCAAGAGCTGCATCGTGGATGACATCCTGCGGGTTCTGGAGGAGATGAGGTCAGCATGGGCATCCAACTGTTCAGTATCCACTCTGCATTATCCCATCACCAAACTCAAAGACGGGCGGGAGGCCTACATTGGGCACCAGCTGGGTGGAGTCCTGGCAGGTGGAGGGAGAGACGGGGTGCGTACTGCTCGAGCCCTTCAACTCACGTACTACCTGCAAGCGGCCAGTCCACTGAACGAAGTGGTAGCGGCCAGCTGGGAGCTGATGTTCTGCAAGGAGTTGGAGAACTTTGGAAAGGCTCATCCAGAGCTTAGCCTATACCCCTTCACTTCATCTTCTCTTCAGAGGGACTTCCAAAGGACCAGTCGGGTATCAGAACGGCCACTGCTCTTTAGCCTGGCTGTGTGTCTCTCGCTGGCCATGCTGTGCTGCTCAATGCGAGACTGTGTGCGTACAAAGCCATGGCTGGGTCTTCTGGCTCTGGTGACCATCAGCCTCGCTACACTCACCTCTGCAGGCATTTTCAACCTCACAGGAGGGAAATACAATTCAACATACCTGGGTATCCCTTTTGTCATGTTAGGTGAGATTATACTACGCCTTCCTGTCCTCCTATTATGCAAAAATGTACACTACTGTTCAAAAGTTTTCTTCATTGAATTTTTTAGAAAAATGTTTTTGAAAGATGTCTCTTATGCTCACCACAGCTGCATTTATTTAATCAAAAATACGGTAAAAACAGCAATATTGTGAAATATTATTACATTTTTTTAAATGTTATTTTTTTCCTGTGATGGAAAAAGCTGAATTTTCTGGAGCCAGCTGCAGTCTTCAGTGTCACATGATTCTTCAGAAATCATTCTAATATGTTGACTTGGTGCTCAAGAAACATTTCTTTGTATTACCAATGTTGAAAACAGTTGTGCTGTTTGAAATTTTTGTGGAAACTGTTTTTTTTTTTCGAGATTCTTTGATGAATAGAATATTCAAAAGAACGGCATTTATTTGAAATCGTATTTTCAATTAACAATGTAAAACTCGTTACTGTCACTTTTGATCAATTGCTGAATAACTGACCCAAACTTTTAAATGATTGTGTATTTGCATCATCCCAGTGATTCGTGCTCTTTTCTCTCTAATCACTAGTCGCCATTGCTGTCTGCATATTCGTTCCGTTCTTTTGATCTTCCATTTACATACTGTGACTGCTTGTATTTTAAAGGACTGTCAGGTTAAACGAGTGCACCTTTTTGACTGGCCGGAAAGCTCTGCACTGCACTTTTGTCAAGGTGTATCATTAAAAATGAAATGCTCCATATCAAAGGAATTCCTAATAGAGCTCAGCAGACAGCCTTTAGAGGAATTCCACCCCCTTCTTTTGTCTTCTGTCCATGAGCCATTCTGGGTGAATCAACTGTGTGCTTGTGGAACAGATTCACACGAGCAGATTTCTTGCAACTAATTACCAACACGCATACATGCATCCTGACAGAACACATCCATCTTGCTCGCTCTCGTTGGCCATCTCTTACACACAGCAATTAGTGCCACATGTGGGAGGAGGCCTGTGTTGAGAAAATAACAGGCTGGGGCAAAAGACAGAAATGAGAAGAAAAAAAAAAGGAAAATAAAAACAAGGGTTTGGAAAAAAAGACGAGAAGGCTGACTGAGAGACAATGAGTTTAGATTGACCCCCATGCCACCCACTCTACAACATTACTATTGCATTTCTCAAGAAGACATCTGTGTCCTTCTTATAATGCTTCTACACTTCAATCTCGACCTTGGCAATTGTGTCACTCAAAGTCAGCAATCTCAGAATTCTCCCCTCTGGTTTCCAATCACAGCCCGAGTGACAGCATCTCCTTACAGAGCTCTCCTAGAGAGCACTTTCTTAGCGTAAAAAAAGAACTTGCTAGAGCCGCCCAGTGTCACTGCATATTAATATCATTCCAGGTGGTTCATACCGGGTTGCATAGGGTTCAGAGAAAAGCAGGGATATAAGTACAACATAACGGATGTCTGACAAAACAATAGGCCTTATCTCTGTAGGCCACCGGCCTTTTATTTAAAACAAATTCCATTACAAGGACATTAGCTGTCAGCTGGGATCATCTGACAGTCTTCTGATGATAATGGAAAGATGGAAGGGAGAGATATCATAGGCCATAATTGCTAAGATTAATGTCATGTTTATGAAGAGAAAAAGACTGCACTGCATCTTGTAAGATGAACAAAGATGTTCAGGAGATAAAGGACTTGCATACTGAGAATCAGTCTGTGTGTTACATTGGTATTCTTTATTTTGTTTTGAGACAAGTGGAAATAAAATAGTCGGTTCAACTAGTAAAGAGGAAAACGTCTGTGGCAGAGGCAGAGAGCGAAGGCAAAAGTGTGAGGAAAATGAGAAAACAGTATGAGAATAGAAATTACAGTCTCTCTCTCTCATTTTCTTTGTTTTACTCGCAGATCTTGATTGTTTAGTTTAGCAACAATCTCCTCTTACTGCCCATTAGTTTAATTTGAGAACTTTAGCTCTGCCAAAAATCAGAACACTTGAGACCAAACGTGGAGGCCACGACCTCAGGCCAGTGCTGTCTGGTGACTCTGCTAGCTATTGTGCTGGGCACACATACCAGGCCTGTGTGAGAGGCAGTACTGGCGATATCAGACCGAGGGAACCTCCATCATGAATGATGAGTCACTGATGCCGTGGCAACCCTGTAGGTGAGGGCCATCTGCTCACTGTGCCTGCATGAGCGAGTCATGTAGAAAGCTAGAGAGGAAAAAACACAGAAACTGAAAAAAGACCAATAGAATGTGAAAGCACAAGTTAAACATGTAAATATATGTTATGGTGCAAGAGTGTTAGCTTCATCATGATGACTTGTGTTCAACTGTAGGACCCCGGGTTCCTTAAAGTCAACTTCTAAAAGTAGACTGACCCAGTTTGCCTAATGTCTTGAGCTTCTGTGCTTCTATGAAGTCCCAAGGCTACAGGGGCTGTCAGCCTTCCTCACATCCGTAAGGCTTTCTCCTTTCATCAGATCAATTTTACATGACATGTGGCTATCATGTGTGAGTGTGACTGAGATTTATTTAGCTACAAATTCATCAGCTGTGAAGATGGAGGAGGAGAGAGTGGGCTATAGTTAGATCATGCTCTGTAAATAGAGGTGGTGGTGGCCAAGAGGCTTCTTTGACTTTGCTTTCAAGACTGAATCCTTTCTTTATTTTGACGGATTTTCCAGTAAACTGCACTGGTGATGATGATGAGCTATAAATTAGGAATGGAGTTTTCTATAGGCAACAGATTGTATAGATTGAATTGAACTGGATTAAAATTAGATTTTTTTTATTGATGGATGTATAAATGCTACAATGCATGCTAAACACTTTCTGACTTAGCTTTGTCCAAAAAAAAAAAGCAGTGCCAGAGCCGGAGAAAGAGAGCATCTGTTTTTCCCTCACATCCATTGTTGCGATGCAGCTGCAGAGTGACTGTCTTGTCACCGTTTTGTTCAATTATTTACGTCTCCACTTTTCCCAGCAGCCATTTATGTCACTTGAAAGATCTGCCTGCCAAAATCATTCTAAGCTATGCTTAGACCATTCCACTTCACGTTTCATTTAAGGTTTATAAATCACTGAAAGACATATTTTCTCTCTTCATCTCTTTCAGGTCATGGCTTGTTTGGCACATTTGAGATGCTGTCGTCTTGGCGACGTACCCGCGAGGACCAGCATGTGAAGGAGCGGGTTGCTGCTGTTTTCTCTGACTGTATGCTGCCCTTCACAGCTAGCACGGCCTTGCATGTGGTCACCTTCGGCATCGGGGCCAGTCCATTCACAAACATTGAGGCCGTACGTCTCTTTTGTCGGAACGCCTGTATCTCAGTCCTCTTCAACTACCTCTACATCCTCACCTTCTACGGCTCCAACCTAGTGTTTGCCGGCTACCTGGAAAACAACTACCGTCACAGTCTATTTTGCAGGCGTGTACCAAAGCCAGAGTTGCTGCAGCAGAAGCCGGCGTGGTATCGCTTTCTCATGTACACACATTACAACGAGGAGGCCACAGAAGCAGGAACACTGCGTGCTTATGAGAGTCACCTGCTGGTAGCCTTTATGAAGCGGTACTACTGTGACTGGATCACCAACACCTATGTCAAACCATTCGTGGTTCTGTTCTACTTAGTTTATGTTTCCTTTGCCCTCATGGGCTACCTTCAGGTCAGTGAAGGGTCAGATCTTAGTAATGTGGTTGCCACAGAAACAAGCACTATAGCATACACCCATGCACAGCAGCGGTATTTCAGCAGTTACAGCCCTGTGATTGGCTTCTACATCTACGAGTCCATTGAGTACTGGAACACAAGCGTGCAAGATGACTTACTGGAATACACCAAAGGTTTTGAACGTATCTCCTGGTTTGAGAGTTACCTCAACTACCTTCATGGGCTGAACATCACCACTAGCCTGTCACGCAGCAACTTCACAGAACACTTGCGGTCTGGCTTTTTGCGCCAACCCCGATTTGTGCATTTCTCGGACGATATCATCTTTGCCAAACGTGCGGATGGGGAATTTGATGTGGTAGCCTCACGTATGTTTCTAGTGGCCAAGACAACAGAAAACAAACGAGAGGAGATGTCTATCCTGCTGGACACACTAAGGAAGTTGTCGCTGACCTCCAGGGTGAAATTCATAATCTTTAATCCATCCTTTGTGTATATGGACCGTTTAGCTTCATCTGTTGGAGCACCTCTGAAGAACTCTTGCATTGCAGCTCTCTTTCTGCTCTTCTTTTCCACCTTCTTGGCAGCTGACCCACTGGTGACTGCCTGGTTGACTGTGACAGTAGCCTCTGTTGAGTTCGGGCTGGTGGGTTTCATGACCCTGTGGCGTGTAGAGTTGGATTGCGTCTCAGTGCTGTGTCTGATCTACGGGGTGAACTATGCTGTAGACTCCAGCACTCCGCTGGTGTCTGCATTTGCTCTAGGCCGGGAATTTACGCGTACGCGCTGGGTGAAACTAGCTCTGGAGCGACATGGAGTTCCTGCCCTTCAGAGTTACTTGTGTTATGGGGCTGCTCTGCTCCCTCTCGCGGCCGTGCCCTCGAACCTCACCCGCACACTCTTCAGGTGCCTCTTTCTCACCACCATCATCACTGCCTTCCACTGTTTGGCCATTCTCCCCGTCCTGCTCACCTTCTTGCCTCCCTCCAAGAAAAAATGTCGGGAGAGAAAGAATGCTGCAGAAAATCGGGAGGAAATTGAGTGTGTGGAGATGGTGGACAGCACACGTGTGGTTGATCAGATTACCACTGTCTGACCACATGCCCGAAAGAGAGGTAGACTGGAGGATGTACAAGAGAGAAAAAACAAAACACCCCCAGGGGGTGGCAGAAGGAGACCTGAGATATGAGAGTTAGCCTATGTGCAGCTGGGCTTCCAGTTCCCATACTTTATCGGTGTTCTTTAGCATGAGCCCACATTTTAAACAAGGCTTCTGTTTGATGGTAAAAGCAGATGAGTTTGAGGTTGAGCCATTAACAATGGGTGTATTGTTGTCATGGTAAAAGTCCTATGCAGGTTTTCCTGCTGCTCAATGAGAGCAAGAAAGGCCAGATGAACCACACTGCTGCACAGTTGCAGATAATCACAGAGGGGGGGCTCCTCTGGTCTGCAGTATTACAGCAGCTGTAGAGCGGAAACAGTAACAAGCAATTGCTTTGACAAGGCGTAGACTTACAATGTTTCTGATGCCCCAAAAACCATACCAAGACTTTCATGGGGCACTAAGCTAAAGACCAAGCAGCCATATTCATATCTGCTGACAGCCATGACTTTAATGTGCCCAATGTAATTTCTTCTCAGAGGTTAGATGTTTTGGTCAGGACCATATATTTGTCTTTTGGTATATGGTGGTATTAAAAATACATGGTATTTGATCAAAAATATTTTCACTGACCATGGTGAAAGTCACCTCCCCCACCATTACCAATGTCTCAAGAGGCATTTAAGGCTCATCTTCCATAAAGGAATGTATAAGAGAGAAAAAAAATGGTTGGGTGAAAGAAAGGACGGAAAGGGGTGGGGATGTGTCTGAGAGATACACAGAAGCAAGACTCTGCTGACAGGTTGGTATGCTGTGCAATGCTTCCATGGTAACTCTGATCACAGTTTAGTTGCATAGTGTATGTATAATTTCCTACCCTCTAATTTCAATAAGGGCATTGGTTACCAATTAAGTCACACTGCAATGGAAAGTATAATCTATGAAGGATTTATCCCTGCTGCTTCTTGCTTATTTTGTTTGCCTCTAAAATGTTGAAAATCACCTTGTCACAGACAATGCTCTTCATCAATATGCATGAGCCAGAGTCTGTTCGTTTTCACCCTCCTTTGCCCTCTGTGTATGAGAGGCTTGAAAAAAATAGATACAGAGCAGAAAGAGAGCATAAGAAAGGAGCATCTGGCCAATCAAATCCACTTACTTTTCAAATTCTCCTCAGTCCCAAAAGCAATTGATATCAAATCAATCATGAAGTAAAACAGCATCCCCTTTAGCTCCAACTCTTACTGCATTTGTGCAAGGATTGGTGCTTTAAGGCAGCTGGGGTGGAGGTTGGGGACATATGGTTTTTTCAAGTCTCCCTTTCTCAAGCACACACGTGGACTGTGACATTGACATTCATGATGACTGTGGCATAATAGAAGGTTATGTTGCAGCTTGTGAAATATTGCTGAATGCATTGCTCCAGATAATCATATAAAGGACAATAAAGGGAAAAAGACAGTTAGACATGTACATGATTGGACACATTTGCACACTTAATGTGGCAGCTGTAAAATAGGCTTTTTTTGACCATTCCCCACCTACTTGATGGTCCTCACCTACTCCAGTCTCCTCCTAAGTAGCACTTCTGAATCACTTCATGCCCCACAAGCATCGGGATGAGATTCAGATATAGGCTACACATTCAGATATACACACCTATATGGCTAATTAAATTAGCCCATATATATTTACAGTGCTAGAGCCTCTCACAGCTGATCTTACTCATCTTAATGAAGTAGCCAGTAGTCCATACTTTTTCCGACTAATCTGAGGATAGTGCTCTTTAAGATTCTCTCAACAATTTAATTAAAGACCAGCAACCCAACTGCAGCTTTAACTGATCTAAGCTGTTGCTGATCTCAGTGAAGCACTCAGACAGCTCTGTCTGATCTCAGAACAGTGCTGCAAATAGAGATTTCACTGATCTCTGAATAGCACTGAAATACATCAGAAACATCCTTTTTGTTCAGCACTTTTTTTGACAGGCCCTATACTGAATAAAATAAAATTATTTTCTTAATCGGTACTTTTGTGTATATATACACAAGTAAAACTGCATCAGATATTAAGGCTTTTTTTCAGCGGGCCCTTGACCCTTGACCCCTTTGACAAATAGTAGTTTTCTTGTTTTAAGCGTGAATGAAAAAAATTTAGTTAGGTTTGCCAATAGAGTAAGAACAACGATCATGTTTTCAGATAACATATCTTAATTATGCCTTAATATTTAATGCATTTTTGGTTAAGTACATTTATCTTGTTTGGATATGGAAACAAGACAAAAAAGACCAAGAAAGAAATTAAGAATAAAATACTCATTAAGAAAATGATTTTGTGCAGTGTAATAGAATCAATAATTTCTAATCCATTATCTATCTATCTATCTATCTATCTATCTATCTATCTAATTGGACAGCTTTCATTTTGTAGGAATGTAGCGTGGTTTTATGTGGGTAAAATAGTCCAGTTTTGTCTATGTACTTAACTGTACTTGAAAGTGTGTACCCTTTAAGAGAAATATCATGGACCTAGAACGATCTTCATTTTATAAATGAAGCTTTAAAGTTCATATTCATTACAATCTCTTATTTGTCCTCCTTGTCTGTCAAAATTGCTGGATTTGATCATTCAGTGCAAAGCCCTTCATATACTTCTGCTTACATACAGATTCACTCAGGCTTACATTCCTTCATTTTGTTTATACACCTCCACTATTTCATTCAGTCCAAATATGATTGCTGTGAAGCAGTATTGGCACAAGGCCCTTTGAAGATGTCAAAGCCAGTGGGAAGAATGAGGGGGGAAAAGTATATACTATACACCCACACTGGCTTGCACACACACACACACACACACACAAATTTAGCCTATAGTTCATGCATTCTGCCTGACTGATATGGAGATGATTGTTGTTTTTTATCTGTTTCTATGAATTTCAGAAGAATAAAAATAAAAGAGGGTGAAACGAAAAGAGAACAGTGTTGCATCATTTGTTTGTGTTATTATACATCCTTATTAAATTAAGCATTACAGGGCTCCAGACTGCGACCATATAGGTTTATATATATTTGCGACTAATTTTTGTGAGCGGCCGCACTGGCGCGACCACCGCGTTGCCCAACTCATAAGCGCTGCCATTTCTGTTGCATATGAGAAACATCAAACAGCAAGCGAAACTTAACCGCGCTACCTATCAGCTGCGCACCGCGGACCGCTTATCAGCTCGGACCGCGACACAAACAAACTTGTCCGAGCTCAGAACCGCTTTACTCGGGAGTTGATTTCGCAACACTGTTACTGCACAGATGCAACAGTGCTGCGAGATCCAGTGAGAAGCGTTTGAATTCGCCGCACAATGATAAGGTTGCTGCGAGATCTGAGAATCATTCAAATTCTGCACATAATTATCTGTTATAAACAGCGCTGACATACCTCAGGAAACCAGAAGCGGTAACGCTAACTATAACCATGGTGTTGTGGTAGAAATAGTCGAATGAATTACATCATTCATTTCAGGGTTTGTACAACCTTTTGAGAGAGAAATTCAAGCACTTTTCAATGACTTTCAAGCATTTCACACAACTATTTCCAGCACTTTAAAGCTCTAAAATGATCCAGTTTGATTGTTATTTTTAATGGGATGACAAAAATATACTTTGTGGTAAACACTTATGTAAAATTTTAAAAATACATCAAATCACAATTATAACGAGTAGACAGCAGCAGAGGAGCACTTATTGGCTTATTAGTCATTCATTTATACTTTTTCTCTATATTTTGAAATTATAAAATCACTATTATAAAATATAAAATCATCAAGAAATCTGATTTTTTTTTCAGATCACACTTTTTTGTGTATGAACTAAGAAAAGTCACAAAGTACCTTGAAAAACAAACTTTTCTTCAATTTGCTACTAAATCGCACATAATCACTGAAGTTGGTCGGTTCCATATAATGATACATTTAATAAGAGTGGAATATATAATTTTTCTATATAAAAATTTGATTTTGCACCTGTTACTGTTGTTAATAAAAGTAAATTTTGTATGCATCTTAACTCAAGCTTAGTGCTTTACTGTCAAATCTGTATAAACAATAAACAA